GTGACGAACTCCAGGTGATTCGGTTAAGATAAGAGTCTAAGGATTTGTTGTCGAGAAGAAGAAAAAGAAAGAAAAGAAAAAGAAAAAGGAAGATAATTTTTTTCTTTGAGCAAGATTTTTTAAACCGAGGCTAGTCCGGCCACACCCACTCCGCTGAGCGCTCATTGGCTGAATGGTGGCGTGAGCGGTAGGCGAAGGTAACCATGTGAAGAAGGAGGGGAGGCCTGTTGACGCCCTTCTGAAGGGATCGGTGTGAGATCCCACTGTGAGAGAGAGGGGAAACTCGTTGACACCCTCTGAAGGTATGGGTGGGATACCAATATGAGAAAGGAAGAATTTGGGAGGACGAAAGACTTCCAAAAATGGAAATTAATAATTCTTCCTGACCGAGAACAAAGAAAAACCCTTAATGCGGATTTAGAATTATCAAGGAACCTCAAACCCCGACAGGCCCACCCCGGTTTTGGTCGGCATCCATATAAGCAGAGTCGCAACGAGTAAGACGACAGTTCGCAGTTCGTAGCTGAGTTGGATTGAGTTGGGTTGGAGTTGCAGAATGAGGCCCGCCTCGCAGAAAGCTGACTAAGATTCCACGCAATCACGACCTCAACTTCTAACCAAGTACAATTTATTTTTGAAGAACAACTTAGACTCACACCACCAAAACAAGTTTTACGAATATCGCCTGAAGATACACCAAGAACCAGTTTCTTAAAGAACAAACAACTTAAGATGTTAAGACTCGCCTAACAAACATAAAGTGTCACGAATCCATATAGCGGTTTGGGAGAAAGACGCAGTCCTGTATTCAGAAACCAGATATAAAATATTCTTATCCTTTTTTTTAACACATTTGAACTTTTCGAGTTATTACTTTATTTTCTTTTACATATACTTGTGCGGTATTACCCTTGTTCGAACTCGACTTGCATTACGGCCCGGCGACTGATTGATTTCGTCTGCCTAAGATCAAATCACAAAAGGTTAGACTAGAAGTCAAAACAGTTACTTCGGTAACCAGACGTTGGAGGCGAGCTGGGAATGACAAGGCTGATATAGAATCTAACCAGATTCCCATCCGAATCAGCAAAAGGTTAGAACGTCACATTTGTTGCCGCGACTAATACCAAGTCACATTGGTCGTCACAAGACAGGATAGGACGGCGACGGCGTGGAGACAGCCGGGGTGACGTCACAACTGGTGCCATGACCGGGATAGCACGGCGCGCGCGGCCAGGCAGACGTCACATTTGTCGCAGCGACACCGGGGGATGTCACAGTTGAATGAGCTAGATATAATCGTACGTTCTATTCTAATAGTTTCTTTTCAAGCACTTCTAACATATCTCGTCTGTGTAAATCTCTTCCAGTTTACCGTCCTGGGTATGGCGATAAACTACATCCGCGTCCTGGGTAAGACGATAAACTACGTCCAACAGCAAGGCCTCAGAGGAGCGTGGAACCACCTATTAATTGCTGGTGTTCCCAGGTCCACCCTGACCCGGGGTGGTAGCACCTGTTGGGGTCCTAGTTAGGAGCAAATAGTTAACACCCCAACTGTAAAAATAGGTTTTAATACCAGAAATATTTTGTAATAAGAATAAAAAAAATTATTACCAGCAATAATTTTTGAAGGAAAAATTATTATCAGCAATACTTTGAAAAATACCAGCAATACAAACAGCTATACATACTTTGGAAAAAATATGACAAGCTATAGATTTCTTCAAGAAAAAATATTCCCAGAAATAGATTTTTGAAGAAAAACATTACCAGCAATAAAAATTTTGTCGGCATTGACGTTGATATGTCGTAAAACAAACCAAACCACACCAAATCTTCCAGTTTATTGTTTCCCTGTCATCTATGTTCATCAAACATCTAAATGCAGTGTTGATCGCCATCTTCTGTCCGTTCTTTTGGTGTTTTTCCCCTTAATAAAGTCTTCTCATTCTCTTTCACTCACAGTAATCCTTTGCGTCTTAGTGGCATTATCGCCTCCATTGGAGTGAAATGATTGTTTTAACAGGCAAAACTGACCATGACAATGAAGTTGAAAAGTTACGTTATTTATTTACTGCTATAATCCCCGTTTCTCTAATGAATTGGCCCAATCTCTTCCAATAGAAGAAATTAATTTGAGAATTTCTTGATTGGTAGAAGTTCCATAAACAACTGATATTGTCTGCTGGCGTTTAGCTTGGTATTCTTGTATACCTTCATAAACAATTCTCTTAATTCTCCGTTCAGTGGGATCCGGCGAATATGAGGCTACGCCATAAGCCGGTGAAATTTAAATCCTAATTTAATTAAGTATTCATTCGTTACACTAGCAGCATAAAGTCGTCTTTGTACTTTAGGCAATTTAGGCAGAAGTAATTTTCAGCCCATCGTCCACATCTCAGTGACCAATCAACTCATTACTGATGTTCCTCAATCTTAATTGGTCAATAATAATGGTTAGTGGCTTGGATTGAGGAATCGAAGTACCGAGTTCGAA